AAATATAAGTAAGATTTTATTATATGTTGATATACAACATGATGCAGGCCTAATTCAATAATTTTAAACGAGTTGTCGAGTTGACCCGTCAACCCGTCGGGTCAACCCGAACCCGACCCGTTTTGGAAACGAGTCGGGTCTAACCCGAACAATCCATGTCGAGTTCGGATCGAGTTTTCGTGTCGTGTCAAATATTGACACCCCTAGCCACAACAAAGAGAAAGGACTGAAATAGGGGGAAGAAAAATTACCTACCATGTTGAAGTTGAAATTAGTTTCAGAGAGATAGAGAGAGAGAGAGAGAGAGAGAGAGAGAGAGAGAGAGGAAAGATCAAAACAAAGGAAGAGGAATACTAAAAGAGAGGGAGAGCATAGTCAGAGAACTCACTGCCTCACACGACATGAGTTATGCCTCATTGTGATTGAACGATGGCATGAGTTATTTGCTGGGCTATATACTTATTACGTGATTTTACATATTTCCAGTAAACTATAGAAATCCTATAATATATGGCTTCAAATAAGACAAAAATGCAATCATATTTCTTTCTGTTGTTTATCGGTATGCTCTAATTCGATGATTAAAAAAAAATTGTTGTAATTATTCTAATATAGATCCTAGTGTGACAAAATGACATAAGAGCAATAGTTATTAGAAGAATTGAAATATAATTAGAGCTTATGAGTGGAATAAAAATGTGGTTCCGATTTATAATTAGTTGATTTGAGTTTGAAAATTTGTTTTAAGAATGCTCTCTCTCTCTCTCTGTGTGTGTGACTAATATAGAAATGTCGATGACGACATTTTTCGAAGGTGGGAAGATTGTAATAACTCAAATATTTGAAATAAATTTATTTAAAAAATATGAAAATTTTGAAGTAGAGCACTTTGACTTTGATTTAGTGAGCGCTGCGGCGGTAGACCATGAACAATACTTTTATAGTTTATGATTAATATTATTTATTGCCATGAATACTATTTAACATTATTGATCGTGATACTAATATCGTTACTGACATTAGTATTGTTGATTGTTACTGCTACTATGATTGATGATATAATGGATTGAGACGTGATGAACTATAAAAGTATAAATTGATGCAGATAAGACATTGATGCATTTATTTTTTTTATATGATTTATAACATATTATTCTATAATATTTTGCATTTATATTAGTTGTAAGATTTTAGTTACTTGCTAGGCAATGTACTTATTACATGATTTTATATGATTTTAGTAACTAGAGCTGGAGCGCTCTCTTATATTCTCATCCACCTCCAGTGAGGTGTATTGCTTGCGATCAACCATCAATATTAATGGATTCATTCAAACTTGTGCCAGACCTGCTAGTTTGTTCTCTTTTCAGGATTTTCCACGTAAAAATCTTGATGTCTCTTATGAATGTTGCACCTATACGTCGCATTTATTTGTGTGCTAACCTGGTTAAGTGTGGGCGGGCGAGTGAGTACGAGCGGGCAAGGGCGAGGTTAAGGGCAAGGGACAAGATGAGACTGAGAAGCAGGTAACAGACGGGTCTAAATGGTTGCATTCGGTTTCACGGGTTAACTCGAACCCTACCAATACTCAATCGGGTTAAAAAATTAAACTCGAACCAGATCCATTTGTTAAATTGGTCGACCCTAACCTAAAATTTTTGGATTTTCAAGTTGTGTCATATATTGACCTCCCCATTTACATATTAAATATACGATTTTAATAAGGGAGATGTAGATGGGAGTGATGATTGAATATTTGCAAGACGGTGGTGAAATTTCTCATTCTGCAATATCAAAATTCCATTGTCTAATCTCGGCTCTTAAAACGATAGTCATGATTTTGATTTTTTTGGGTTTATGATGTTGTTGTCGCGTCTCCTTTATAAGCTTTTTTTAGTCATTCCTTGGCCAAATATATTTGTCTCAGGGAAGTCGTTGCAAGTTTCCCACTCAACCATAACTATTTGACCAAGATGAGGAAGTATTACATATGAGATTTTAGGGGGAAAAAAGCGCTGCGAAAGTCTAATTTATTAGTAGTGTTGTATTGATATGATTATTAGCGAGCTCTTGCAACTTGACCAACATTTTTTATTGCTATAAACTAAACACATATTTGAAAGGAGAGCTGCAACTACTTGGGCTATTATTGGTTTCAAGTCTCTTACTGATTTTGGCATTGAAATAAGACCAAAAAAAAACTAGAAGACTACTTTAGCCTCATATGAAAAGATTCGGCAAATTAGTTAGTTGTTTCTGAGCGTAGACGAATAAGTGATGAATTATTTCTTGAATTTAAAATAGGAGGCAACATTTCCTTGTGAAATAAGTGAAAATCATCTCAACAAGCCCCACTTAATGATGAGTTGAGTGCTATAAAACTTGACTATTTCATTCGAATTAGATGATAAAATAATCACCCTTTAAAAGGAATCTCGATTTAATTTGTGGTTATCTGAACTTGTTTGAGAGCAAACCTCACTTTAATCCAATTGCCCGCTTATGACAAAATCTTGTTGTTCCAGTTTTAGATCTCTAACCCTTTCATTATGATGCTCCATAACTTAGTTTCTTGTGCACACAAATATAAAATGATGTTAGGTCAAAATATATTTGTTGGCAATATCAAAATCTCATTAGAGTATATATATTAGAGAGAGGCGAGAAAGAAAGAGAAAATTAAACTAGGAAGTTTTTAGGATTTTATTATATCTTTATTAGAGAGTATAATTTGATGTGACTTAATTCAATTATAATGTATTAGTTCTTTCTTTAATCTCATATTTATAAGTTTAGGTTTAAATTTAGTGCTATATGAATAATCACATTTAAGTGAAATAAGTAAAATTATATAACATGACTTCAAGTCTGTTTGAGATAATTTTTTTAGTATTTTGTTTTCAAGATCATAATTGTAGTTCTTTTTGGCAACTTTAAAAAACTTTTTATACTAGAAAGCAACTTTTTACAACATATTTGAAAACAATTGCTTTCTCCGTTACAGTTTTACAACAACCATTAAAAAAGTTGCTATCATCCCAAACAAATTCATAATACTTGCCGTAAAATATTTTAATCTTGCGGTTAATTGTTTTTCAAATACTTAGTCAAATCTTGATGAGTTCTTGAAAATGAGGTTATTTGAGAAGAACTTCCTTAGATAAAATTTTTGGAGAGTTCAACGGCTAGTTTAATAATGAATTACCTAAGCAAGATGGATAACAACTTTAAGAGAAAGTTATCAAGTTGAGTTCACTCTAAGTGACGAAATAGTTTTAGAGAACTTCATGACTTTCATTACCTAGTTTTTGGGTGATTAAGGCTTCGATTGAGACGACTTTCATACTGCTTCTTAAAACAGCTTTTTAGTACAAAAGTTAAAATTTTTGTGCTTGAAAGCTGTTTTAAGAAGCAATAAAAAAACAGTCCCAAACAAAGACTAAACCTTTTCTTTTGGCCACTTAAAGCTTTGAGTCTCATGTGAGAAATTGATAGAATGTTTTTTTATGACTTAATGTGAGTTAATAGTGTATGATGACTTGATGAGCATAGCTTATATTGATGACAAGATTTGATTTACTCAATTCATACGAGTATATCATACTTATTATTTTTATAACTCAATTCATAATTTATTGACTTTTAATTAACTTAAACAAAATTTGAAATTACTTCAATTTCATAATGATTAATGTTGACTATAGGTCTACTTACTACAATTTTATATGAATGTTATTTTTTTTATTATTTTGTCACTATTTATTAAAAAAATTTGTGATGAAAATCTGAATTTTATAATTAGAATAATTAAATTATTTTTCTCATAATAATTTTATAATTAATTTTATAAAATATTACAACCATTCCAAACAAATCTTAGTTTAATTCAATAATGAATTTACTCGAATTATATATATATATATATATATACCATTTCAAATTCATGTAACATTTCAAATACTTATTTCTCGTTATTGCCGGTGTCCGGACCTAATAAAAATTCCATTTGAACAATTATTAGGTCCGGACATCGGACATAGCTCTACATCCGAAGGCCAATAACATGTCACCACGTGCTCTTACTTTTTATCGCGCGGTCCGACAACCCGACCCGGATTGGAATCCGGTATTGCTATGTTCGAGTATTGCTTCGTAATGCTAGGTATTGCTAAGTACTGTTTGACAATAACGATAAATACCATTATATCAAGACCAATACCTAGCAATAACCTGGTTTTGCTAGGTATTGCTCGGTATTGGTCTTGACAGAATGATATTTCTCATTATTGTCAAGTAATATCGAGCAATACCTAGTAATACCCCGGTCTGCACAAATGAGTCAATACATAACAATCTCGGATCTGGTCCGGATCGGATCGTCGGGCAGTACGATAAAGAATAAAGCATGTGCCAACATTTTACTGTCGTCGCTATAGCTTAAGTCACGACACCGGAACTAATAAAAATTCCGTTTGGAGGGCACGCGATATTCTTTGAAAATAAGGGCCCGTTTGATTTACCGTAATTTCTCCATTTTCAGTTTGGATCGATGAAAAACTTATCATTTAACTGTTTGTTTACGCGACGTTTTAAAACTACCGTTTGCCACACCGTCCTATTTTTGCCGTTTTGAGAAGAATAATGCTTCGTTTGTTTTTTTTGGTGCTTTTGTAAAAGTCAGTTTTAAAAAACATTAGTTCAGAAAATGTAGTTTTGTAATGGAGAAGCATATATAAAAAGCTTTCTCAAAACTGCAGAAAAATGAAAAAAAATGAGTTATTGGGAATATGATTTGACAAACCAAACAACACAAACAAAAAATTCATCGGTTTCTAAAAACGGAAAAGACAAAAAAAATGCTCAAACAAACAAAGCCTAAAAAATCTGCTCTTCGTTCTTACACCTCCGTTTAAAACCGAAAAAAAGTCGGTGGAACCAAACGAGGCCTAAAGGGTAAAAACTGTTTCTGTAATGGCAGCTAAATGCTAATCGACCATAGCCAAGCGTAAAATTCTATTTACCCTGCCTTATGTTGGATTCATAAACCGAAGGAAAAGGCCAGAGCCGGCAGTATCATAAGTGATCCCAAAAGCTCTCGGGCGATCCCAAAGCTAGGTTTTTGTGCGTTGGCGCATCCTCGTGGTCGAAACGAGGGCGCCATTAGGCTGTTTATCTCATTTTTTATGCCGGCTTTTTGGGCAACGGAGGAAAGAACTCCAATCAGTATTCCTAATATCATAGATCACTGTGTTTTGTTTCATCGGACGCGACCGCTGTCATTAGGTTTTCGTATTGCTCAGAGAAATTTAGTCGACATATTTCGGAGAAGGTAGGCCCCTTCGTAAATGTTTTCTTTACTGATGTTGTAACAGCGATGAGTTGGAATTAGATTGATTTGATCGAAGTTCGTTTCCAATTTTATATTGGAAAAATTGGAAAAAAATGAATTTTTTGTTCTTTACACTTCTAGTGCAATTCTTGAAAGCTTGTTCTTTTCTTGAGATGGTTTTTGCTTTTTTGTTTAAATTGTCCATATACTCTCTAAAAAAATTAAGTATTAATGGATTTAGATCGAACGAACTATATTCATTTCGAATGGTTTTAATCAGGGTCGAATTGCATTGAATGTTTCAGGCCTTTTTTTGGTTATCATCAGAGGCATATGCTTCTGGAATAGTTAAAGTTGAGAAAACTGACACCCAGGGTAGAGGCTAAGTTTTTTTTTTGGGGGAAAGATGACAGAATTCGTTGATCTTGAGACACAGGATGGTGTGAGAATGACTTGGAATGTTTTTCCTGGTACTAAGCAAGAGGCCATGAACTGTGTCATACCCGCAGCTGCCATTTATACACCGCTGAAACCCATCCCAAATGTTCCTGTACTTCCATACGCTGCTCTCCGTTGCCGTATCTGCCGTTCCATTCTCAACCCCTTCTCCATTGTTGACTACGCTGCCAAAATTTGGATATGCCCGTTTTGCTTCCAGAGAAATCATTTTCCTCAACACTATGCATCCATATCTGAGGACAATCTTCCAGCTGAGCTTTTCGCACAGTACACAACAATCGAGTATGAGTCCGTCCATGATGCAGGTCCTGTGGTGCCTCCAGTTTTTTTGTTTGTGGTTGACACTTGTATGCTTGAGGAGGAGCTTGGATACTTGAAATCTGCTCTTGCACAAGCTATTGAGTTGCTGCCAGAGAAATCCCTTGTTGGTCTTATAACCTTTGGAAACTATGTCCAGGTTTGACACACTAATCTCTTTTTGAAGTGTTTATCGGTTCCATTTGTTGCATTGATATGAATATGATTGTCATGCAGGTTCATGAGTTGGGGTTTGGGCAAATGCCAAAGTCATACATATTTAAGGGATTGAAGGAGGTGACTAAGGATCAAATTTTAGATCAGATGAATTTCTTTTCAGGTAAGCCAAAGCCAGCAGTGGGAGTGATTGCTGGTGCTAGAGATGGACTCTCAGCTGCGAGCATTGCAAGGTTCCTTTTGCCTGCTTCAGAGTGTGAATTTGTACTTAATTCAGTTGAGTATTGAGTTATTTTGATTTTCATTTATGAGCAATGGCATTTAAAATGCACACAATTTATGTTTCATGCTCAGGTTTCATGTTCTACATGTATGGCTTCCCGTCCAGATACCTTAGTGATGTGAAATGAAACCCTCTTAATTTCATTTAATTCTAAGCTAGGAAAAAAATTATTGATCCTTGCATAGTTGTATCATTTATATTAGTAAACTAAGCTGCAAAAATGATTAGCGTATTGCAACTAGTGTCTACCTTGAACATCATTAACTTTTACTTTATAATCATTAAAGGCAGCTACTTAATTTGTTTCGTTAGCTGTCTCCTTGCTGATAGTCCTTGTTGATGGTTTTAAAATATATGCACCCTGTCATTCACTATTACTCGCTATCTTACTTGATTGCATTTTAGTTTACTCTGATTTTCCTTTACTTGACTAGATATTGTTACTTTTTTAATTTGAATTCACGTGCAACATTTAGGTTTTGGAGGAGCTTCAAAGAGATCCTTGGCCAGTTCCAGCAGACCAACGGGCATCAAGGTGTACAAGTACAGCCTTAAGTGCAGCGGCAAGTTTATTAGGGGTTTGTGTCCCCGGTTCTGGTGCAAGAATTATGGCTTTTGTTGGTGGTCCATCAACAGAGGGGCCTGGTATGGTAAGTTTACTGAGCGTCTATGTAATTTTGTGAGGGAATATCAGATTTTGTCTTCTTGCCGTCTTTATGATAAAGGAGGCCATAGGATATTTTGTGAACTATTTGGTGTCACTCACCCTAGAACTTTACGAAGATTATGTGCGTTTCATGTACCATATCTGATAATATGGCATACTAGCTTGTTTCCCTGCTATGCAAATCTTAATGGTTTGGTAAATAGGGGTGATGTTTGTTGCAATTTCATTCATTAGGTTACAATGAAGTGACAAGAGTACCTTTAACTCGTCCAGAACTTCTCGTATTGTATTATAGAATAGGCCTTGTTTTTTAGCATAATTTGACTTAACTACTATTTTTCTATATTTGGTGGAATTCATCAGGAAATGTTTGGTTATGTGTAAACTTCACCAATGATACATTTGCTGTTTTGTTTCACTTCCGCACTTCTTTTCAGCCAGATTGTTGTGTATGTTGAGAATCTTATGCTGCTGTTAGTTCCAATTGTTTTAGGTGTTATATATTGTCATTTTTCCATCATAGTTGGATTTACATTCAACAGAATTAGTACAGTTATCTATATTTGAACTCATGGGCGGGTTCTATATCCTTTATTTATGAAATACCTTTAAGGTCGATTCTAGTGCACTGGTTGTAAGAAAGTCTACATTACTACCTAGTTCTTAGTTGGTCACTTCAATTCAAGTATGTGCACTACTTTTTTCTTTTTCATTCTGTTTGCCAAACACTAAAGAGATTCGAATAGCTTGTGCACCCCGCTTCATGTTAAATTGTGAGATTAATTTCTGAGACTACTCATATAATATTTATGGATGTTTGAAATTCTGCTGAAACCATTTACTTGGTTCAGAAGACTTTTATGTTTGATAGTGATCAGTTTACTGAAGTAGTGATCAGAATTCTTACTTCGGAATTCATATGTGGAAATTACAAATTTTTTGGAAGAATAAGTTCAACTTCTCAAACAAGCCAAGTTTTATTTGGATTAACTGTTAAATGCTTGAATGGCAATGTTCTCTAAAAGTCGATTTCATGTATATGGCACATTTGCATATCTTTCAAATTGAAAAAGGGAACATGCTTACTGTACTTTGTTTTTTTGCTTGATCTTTACGTTCTATTTGTATATGAAAACACAATGGAGGTTTTCTTATGCTTGTGGTAGAGCTGTATTGGAAGTATATGTTATTTTAGTTTTCTTAGGCTTGTGCCATGGATTTATTGGAAGTCCTTGTTATTTGTTTAATGCTAATAGTTATCATTTTACTGTTTTTCTGCCATATCCTTTTCCTTTCCTTACTATATCAGTTTCAATCTCCTTGGTCGTGTAGGTGCAACTGAATCTTATCTTTATCTCTTGCTTTATGAAGGGCTGAAGTAGTGTATTTTATGAAAATTTCATGTTTCTTTATTTTTTACTTCTGGAAGCTCTTTAGAGTTTAAGGATTTATTTTGATGTTTTTTTTTTTTGTAGATTGTTTCAAAGAATTTATCGGAGCCAATTCGTTCTCACAAGGACTTAGACAAAGGTAGTGCTCCGCTTTACAGCAAAGCTGCAAAGTTCTTCGAGGGGCTTTCAAAGCAACTTGTTCATCAAGGACATGTGCTGGATTTGTTTGCTTGTGCACTTGATCAGGTCTATAATTTGATAAAAATTTTCCATTGTTGGCTTCAATTTATTAATTGTGTAATTTGCTTTGCTCCATTTTGTTCAAGTTTTATTTAATTGCTATGCCTCTCCATATGAACTTAAGATTAGCATGTTGTTTTCTAAGTCGATTATCTTCTTGCATCCATTTGCTTATCAGCATTTTACTCTACCATAATAGGAAAGCTCTCTTCGCTGAATATCAACTAAATGATACCAATTTTTATTTTAATAAGAGGTAATGTTGGGTGGATGTATGATGTCTTGGGCCTAGTATTTCTAGCGTGTATCTATTATGATCTGCAAAAGATCATGCAACACAAATAAGTTTGCAACTCGCAGACTCTTAATCTTTAATTATTCATTATCTTTGATTAAAACTAAAAATACAGAGCAAATTGATTCAGATGAAAACTCATTAGTCTTTTTTTTTTGTCTTTTCTTTGCATGTGGTGAGTGGATGGGAGGTTTTAGGTTGACCATTTTTTTAGTAGGTTTCTTTATTAATTTCATATGAATTTTCTGTTTTGGCCCCATCATACTCAATTTCCCAAGCTGTCTATGAGGTTATGATTGCGGTTCTTATTACATTTTGGGTAATAGAAACATCAAGGGAAGGATGAGATATCTAACAAACCATAGTTGCTTGTTTTCATACACGATATATGCCAATCTAGGGGGAAACATAGAATGGTCATTTTTGTTGGAAATCTGACATATTTTAATTTTTTAACTACCATGTGACCGCTGAAAAGAAATTTAAATCCATGGAACAGACTAAAATCCAAGGTGTACCCCCAAGTTAAAAAAAAAGGGTTCCCTCCTATTACAGCCTATTTGTCATGCTGCTGTAACATGCTGGGAGAATACCATTCACCAAGATTCATGAATTTCAATTTCTTATATTTCAGTCTATAGTGTAGACCTGATCGTGCCAGTTCAGGCCTGATGGGCATGATTTAAATTGAAGTGTTGAATTTGCTTCATTACCAGTTTGTCTAAGGAGTCCTACAAGCTTTTGTAATATTTTTTCCACCTGCAATTTCAGCAAGCTCATATGTACCTTTTTTTTGGTTGGTATAGACCATTAAATCATGAGATGTGATGGCTGTGCTTTATTTCCCAGGTTGGGGTTGCAGAACTGAAAGTTGCAGTTGAAAGAAGTGGTGGAATTGTTGTGCTTGCAGAGAGTTTTGGTCATTCGGTTTTTAAAGATTCGCTAAAGCGGATTTTTCAGGCAAATGACTATGATCTTGGCTTATCATTCAAGTAAGAATTTATCTTTATAGTTTATATTTTTATTTGGTTTCTTATATGGAAAATGACATTGTTAGAGGGGAACCATTTTTATATATCTTATTCAATGGAGGCCCTGTCATATAGTAAGTGAATCAATACGAAGGTGCAACTAAAGAAATATACACCACTAATTAAATATAGAGTAATTTTCTAGCTTGACATTTTCTAAGCTAATAATTGCTTTTACTTTGGAGCATATATATTAGTCAGTTTCAGCGTATTTCACAATCGTGAAGAAGGTAGGAGACCAAGTTTTTGTAAAATTATCAGCCTCTTGATTTGAACTAGTTATACAAGGAGAGAATATTTTTTATAGTTCAACCTATTGATTGAAATGACAAACAATATCAATATTTATGGTTCTTTTATAGAACATAGGATTCCTAACAATATAGAATGTATCCCTATCAAAGTAGAGGATGTGTAGTTGGAAAATTAAACTCCCCTATAAGAGTTTTTACTCGCATTATTCTACATGCACAATGGGCCATAATTCTGTTTTTAGCAACAGCAATTTGTTTTCTATTTTTTGGTGATCAAGTTGCCTCAAATAAAAATTCACTATCTAAAAGTTAAATTCCTATCTTCAATCGAGCCAACATAATTAACATTTGAGAATGCTTTCAAATTCAATTATTCAATCTTAGTGTATAATGTCCCTTCTCTTGGAGAATTTTTTATGCACCTTGGAATTGAGTTCAACGAAAATCCATGCCCCGGCAGTGTCTTTTTATTGATAGCCAAAGTTTTAACGAGATTAGGTTCCGTATTAAATTTTAAAAAGTCGGATTAGATATTTAGATAAGACACTACCTAGAGATTTTTAGATAAGACAATAACTAAATAAAATTAGGTAATGCTTTTCTTTTCAAAAGTTAAACATCTAATAAATTTGATATGTATGGGAAATGTGCAAGCCTCTTTACGATTTCATTATAGGGGAAACACCATGTAGACTAGTTTTTACATCTTATTGATAGAAAACTAACCTTATTTTACATTCAATGGCTCAACTTATGAACCAACACAACATTACCAAACAAAGCCTTTGGTGATTTGTGGATGAATAGCGGAGGACAAAAGGTGTACCGATATGGTGGTTAGATCAACTTTGTTTGAAGAACTATGTTGAAAAAATGTATGGTAAAAAAATAACATGAGTAGAAAGTGCGAAATCTGGTTACCCCCTCATTTAGCAATAAGAATGAATGGCTAAGGATGATTCATAAGATAGTTTTGGATTATGGTATTGGTTATGGTGATTTTTTTGGATAAGAAATTGAAATGCAATACACACACCTCCTCTCTCTTTCTAATTAGAGGACATAATGAATCCCATTTCTTTCCTGAATTTTGTTTTATGTTAATTTAATTTGATGAAGTGTCCTTGACTTAGATGCTGGGTTACGTCGTAACATTACAATATTCATGCTAGTGTTCCATTTGATGTTCAGAAAATTTCAAACCTAATGGTTGCCTTACTTGGTATTACGAATTATCTTAGAGAGCCGATGCTTGGCACTTAGAACATGGTTTAATGCTCTGTGCTCCCTTGGCTTTGAACTATTGGAGGCTGTAGGCACATTTTCTGGAAAATGTGGGTCCGCTTCTAAGCAGTGTACCCTTGCCAAGGGAGCAATGAGTCTGTTCCTGCCACCAGTCAGTTACCTGGTACCCTTCTTGGTGCCAAGAAACATTTCTCTTCTTATTGTTTATCATGAGAAATAAGTTATCGGTGGATTTTAACATGTCTGCAGTGGTGTTTTTGAAGTTAATTGTTCTAAAGAAGTAAAAGTTCAAGGCATTATTGGTCCCTGTGCTTCACTTGATAAAGTAAGTTGACAGATAAGTTAGCTTGTAAAACATTTATCCGTTTATCTTTTGGCACTTACCTCTGCTTTTTTGCTTTACACAGAAAGGTCCTTTATGCTCTGAAACAGTTGTCGGTCAGGGAAACACAAGTGCCTGGAAAATGTGTGGCCTTGACAAAAAGACATCTTTATGTATAGTATTTGACATAGCTAGGAAAGATGGGCCTGATGCAGTTGGGCAATCTACAAACAGCCAATTCTACTTCCAGTTCTTAACTTAGTATGTTTACCTTATTGCAAAAGTGCCATTTATTTATTTACTTTTGAAACTGTATATTGCTTTGGACCAAAGCCAATATCTGACAGACTGCATTCATGCTGCTGCAGTTACCAGCATAATGATGGTCATATGAGGTTGCGTGCTACAACTCTCTCAAGAAGATGGGCTGCCGGATCTGGCAGCATTCAGGCATGTTTGTGTTTTCAGATAACAGTTCTTGACTAGGTTGTGTTGCAGAAGAATAATGGCAACATACTCGTTTGTATATAAATACTTCATGACGAACCCAATAAATTCCCTTGGATAAGATGAATACCTGCAGTTTATATAATTTTCATAGCACATGTGATTCCTGGGAATTTTACAAAATGTGTTTCTTTAAACAAGAGTGGTTTGGATAGCTTTCAATAGCTTGAATGCAATTACACTATGAAACATTTGGTTAGCATTATGTCCTAACATGTGATACAGAGTTAGAGATGTAGAAGATTGCGGAAGGCTTCAATAGTTGTAGAAGAAAGAAGGGGGGACAAGAAGCCTAAAACACATCCTTAGGGGAAGAGAAACAAGACACAGCCTAGGAGGCGAAAGCCATATAAAGTATCATTTTTATTCAATAATCATATGCCCATAATTTGATTATTTTATGACCCTCGGGCCTCTATTTTAATGGGAGATCCTACCAGATGCAGCTAATTCAAATTATCCTAAACTAACAATTGTTCATATTTCCCATAAAAAATAAAATAATCACAAATAATAACTACCAAATAAAGAAATGTATTGCTAATTTAAGTAAGCTATTATGACATGATAAACAATCCATTACTATCTTACATCATTCATCTTAGGGAGCTTTACTATGAAAAGTTATAATGTTACTCAAGAAAAAAAAATTTGAAATGCTTTCTTCTATTATGGAAAAGTTGGAAAAACTTTCATGTTGGGAGCACACCTAAAAGATGTAGACAAATATAAGAAGTCTCGAAGAAGTATTCGTGTTGGAGTATATCCGGCAACAAATGTAACACTTTCTAAGGGAAATATATCATGTTGGGAGCATATCTATAAGAGGAAGAGATAGAGGTAACAGGTCTCAAAGACGAAGACACGAACGAACCATATGATTTGTTACCTCTCTCGATCGTAAGCCCTTTTGTGATTATGGGTGCATAAGCTATCATTGGCTTCCTTGATCTTTCAATTAAGAGGAATGATGGTACATACACAATTCATCATATGTTAAGTTGCATTTTATTTAAAAAACATAAGACTTTTATAGAAGTAGTTCCCTGTGGTCCAATACAGTTTTCATTTCTATAGTACTACAAGCTGTTATTATAAACAACATGTTTTATGGTAGAAATTGATTTCACTACGTTGCACATATATTTCATGTTTGAGACTTAGCTTTTCAAAATGTTGTTCTGAACGACATTGAATTTGACTGTCCTATGTCTATTGATATGAAAATTGGTTATTGTTTTTTATGTCTTTAATATTTTTCCTTTGCTCGGAAATAAACGTGCAATCTCATGCATTTTCCTGAAAAACTGAATATTACTGTAGGATTTAGTTGCTGGATTTGATCAAGAAACGGCTGCAGCAGTCATGGCACGGCTTGTTTCTTTTAAAATGGAAACAGAGGTAGGTCACTGTTTGTGATTTTGCATTAGAAAGTCTTCTGTCTGTATTGTGATTATAGCCTTGCTTTTCTATTTGTCTTTAGATAATTTTTTAATATTCTGTATTCTGTAATTGGATATGATTGCTGATTGAAATAGCACCTACTTTAGTTGTTGTTTCAGCCTTCACTAAATAATAACTTAAATCTTGTTCGTGTGGATCATTTGTGCATTATGTTGATCAAATTCTTCCAGGAATGTGCTTTTTAGAACGTTAAATGCATCATGCTGGACACTGACTTAACTCTTAATTTGGATTCTAAACTTTTTTTTATTTTTTATGATGAAATTATAAATATAAGTTCATCATTCCCGTTATGATGCTTTTAGCAAATGTCACACAGATTAAAGGACTAATTATTTTTCATGTTTCATATATTTTCCTTTTCATATTCCTTTATCCTCTATTAATTATTTAAATAATTATGGGAGAGCAGGAAAGCTATATGCTTATAGTGTCGTTACAATCATCTCTTTAATGGCTTTTGTTTCGCTCTGCACATTCGACCACCCTACTTTTGTTGGAGATCTTTTTTTAGTGATGGTATGTAGGATGTATTGTTTTCTTTGATGCACTTCATGGCTCAATTGTTGATCATGTTATGTTTGGAATCTAGAAGCTTAATGAACTTATTACATATTTCTATGCCATGAATATAGATGAAAATTTATGCATAGTGAATGATGCAGGGCCCCAAATTTTTGCTAACAAAAGACTACTCTTCCTAGGATAATAGAAACTACCAAAAAACACAAAATGTGACAATTGAACTAAAAATAACTTCACTTTAATATAAAGACTTACAAACCTTTGACGCTTACAAATGACTCAAACAAACTTTCAAAACATAAACTCCTAAAGTTGCATTCATCCATTGAGAGAAGAAAGATACAAGTGGAGTGGATTCTTGCGTAGAGAAGAAGGGGATTAGAAGCCAAGACGAAGATAGGAGGACAAGCTTGCAAGCTTTCCTAGGAGAAAGGAGGAATGAAACAAGCTCGCAAGCTTTTCCAAGAAAGAAGAAAAACCTCTCAGGTTTTTGTCCCAAAAATGACATTATATCACTTTACTTATTCCATGCCAAAACATCTCCATTTTATAGGCAAAAGAAGGCAGCTAAACATCCCCTAAAAGCATTAATTAAACCTATTAGATTTAGGGAAATGAAAGGC